TCCTAACAGTATTGAGTCTTCCAACCCACAAAGAAAATAAAGCTAGTTTTTGAAATATCTGTGTGTGTAAGAAGCCCCTCCATTATACACAAAAGAAAAAATAACAGATAAAACAATCTCTGCTTTGAGATTATTCTTCTGGAGTATTTGATGTTGGTGTACTCTGTCACCCATCTTTCAAACAAACAGCATGTGTCTTTAAAAAAAATCTTTGCAGTCTGGGACCAAATTCATTCCATTCTTTCCTCACAATGATCTCAAGACCACCAGAATCTGTGGTTGCCATGGACATGGAACTCTTATTCTTTCATTGGCATGTTCGCAGCCAAAGGCGTAGGACATGGTGGTAAGGGTCTCAGAGCAAGGTCCCCCTATCCTATCCCCTGCCCTCTCATTCTCATGAAAAGAATGGAGGTGTATAGCTGGAGAAAAGGAGGGAAGGGAGTGGGGATGGGCTGAGAGTCTTTAGGGCTCATAGATGGGAAGATAGCCTTGAGCCCAATGGTGAGAAGAGCACTGATAAACATTCCTCTCCCCTCTGGGGGACCTCCCAAATCTCCCTTACCCTCTGGGACCAGTGAACAACTAAGTCAATATTGGTTAAGTAGCAGTGACCTTGTTGCTGGCAAGGAATTGAGTGAAGATTTGACTTAACAAATTCTGATTTGGGGCAATTAAAAATAGAAAAGGAATATATATATATATATGTATATATGTATAAATGCACACACACACACACACAAAAACTATGAAAAAAGGGAAAACCATTATTCTGAAGGATAGTAGGAGAGGAAACTTGAATCAAGATCTTAAAAAAGTTACCTCCCTTTTAGAGAAAACTACAGGAGTGCACAATACTGAGAGCTACTGTATCCTGTTGTTTCTAGCCTCTTCTGAGGAATAGTAAGAGAAAAAATATTCCTAGAAATCCCACTTTGCCTTGGGTCACCCTGGTTCACATCTAAAGATGTGCCTCTAGCACATCTCTGGAGCACTAGATGGTAGACTGGGAGCTTGGGAATTTCTACCCCTTCTGCCAATGAGTTGGTATCCTTTCAAATGTATGAAATTTACAGATGGCTGTGGCATGGGTCCAAAACTCAAAATCAACATTTATGCCCAAAATTGGACGATTTATTTTTAAAAATAATTATTTTTATATTAAATTATTTTTCTCTCTTTGCCAAGAGTTTAGGGACTTATGGTACAGTTCTGACTGCCTAAATGTAGTCATCATGTTGTTTTTCCCTGGCAATGTGATTGGCAATGTCTTATTTTCCTGTGACTTCCAATTTTTACATGACACAAAGCTACTGGGTGTAATGTTGAGGGACACATCTCTTTTTCTCACGTTTCTTTGTTATTTATTCTACAGAATGTTTCAGGATGGAAATATCATAAGTCACTATGATGATACAGCTATTGAGTTGAAACAGATTCTGTTTCATTTTCTGGTTCTGGGTAGCAATTGGATGATCTTAAATGTCTATTCTGGGGCCAGTGCTGTGGTGTAGTGGGTAAGGCTGCTGCTCTGGCATAGTAGGTAAAGCTAATGCCTGCAGTGCCAACATCCCATTTGGGTGCAGTTCGAGTCCCAGCTGCTCCACTTCCAATCCAGCTCCCCTAATGGCTCAACAAAGCTGCCAAGGATGGCCCAAGTGCTTGGGCTCCTGAATCCATGTGGGTGATCCAGAAGACGTTCTTGGCTCCTGGCTTCAGATTAGCAGAGCTCCAGCCATTGTGGACATTTGGGGAGTGAAGCATCAGATAGATGATTTTGCTCTCTCTCACTCTGTATCTCTGTCTCTATAATTCTGTAATCCAAAATAAATAATATTTTAACAGCAAAGAAGCTTTTAAAAAATGTACTGCAGGTAAATGTAAATATCGTTGAATCTTCAAAAAATGTTTTCTTCTACTTTTGGAATGTTTTTTCTACTTTTTACCAAGGGCAAATAAAGAATGTATGTTCCACATAAGTTATCAAATTACATGATACTGTAGATTTCCTTCATTTACAGATTCAGGACCTTAGAAATGCTGATCCATACCTAATAAGTTCTATGTGAGTCTTTGTCTTTCTCCTTTGAAGGATATGATAGGTGTCTAAACACATGGAATATAAAATTCACAAGTGCTTTTACTTTTCTTAGATTATGGATCGAATTTAACCGCATGGCGATATGAAGAGATTCAAAAAGAATCGTCAGTATCGCTGGTTCTCTAAAAAGAAAAATACTGATATGTAAGTGATATTATTCTAATGTACTGAATTTTAAACATAACTTTCAACTTTAGTTAATCTGATAGGCAATCTGTGCATTCATTCTGGCTAAATATAAACTGTATAGAGATGAAATTTGTCAAGCTCACAGAATAAGATCTTGTTAATCTATGCCTGAAATGTCCTTAAAAACACTAGTTTGGATGGTGTGATAATATGCATGTGCCCATCACTTTATGCTTTTCCTATGGGAAATCTGGTTGCCCTACCAGAGGATGATGTGTTCTGGAATGATAAGCTAGGTCCAACTCAGGAAACCATTCCACATAGAGGCCACCACAAGGGCTTCAGTTGTTTTGTCTTGATAAACACCTGAATTGTTGTTAATTACCAAAATAAAGGCTACAAATGTGTTTTTATTAGTGACACTGGGGCTTACAACTTAGCATGAAAATGCTAAAACTGTATGAAAATTAAAATCTGTGAATCAGATAAATGATTATACAGATAGTTCCCCCTTGGATAAGCACAATTTAAGAATCTGAATGATATCTGTAAGTGTATACCAGAGACTTGTCCGCTAGGTGGTCCTATCTGCAGCCATTGGTTTAAGAGTTTTTGCCTCCTGAATATTGGAACTATATCCCATTTATTGTATGGATGTCTCATTCCCAGATAGATTGGTGCCCCAAGAAATATGATTAGCTGTCCTAGTCTGTCAGCTGGATCTGAGGAGTAATTTGAATATTGACCAGCTCTCTTCCTCAGTAGAACCCATCAGGAAAACCTGATAATCATTCAATGAGGCTACCTGCATCAAAAAACTCATATTCCCCCTTTTGGCAGTCTGAACATTTTCCCTTAAGGTGATTTATTGCTATATCCCCAACACATTCCTGTTGATCTTCCTGTTGAGAGATAGCAGATACCTATCAGATATGCTTCAAGGATATCAGAAGACCAGCATAATACTTGAACGACTACATTCAAGGACCCTCCCCCAGGCAAAAATTATTGGAACATCTAGACTATAGTCTTCTTTCTAAATATTTGAGGAATAATATAATAATTATATCTGTCTGTTCTTAGAGTTTTGATCTATTGCTGAGTACAAAATTGGTTTGCTAAAGGGACAATTAAATAGCATTTAACATACTCTTTCTGTAATGTGTTTCTTATACTTTTGGCAGTATGAGGTTTGTGTTCAAATAAGTCAGGAACTGCAGCATATTCTGGTCAGCTTTTAGAGATCCATGGTATTTATAAAAGAAATATGCTGGGGTGGCGCTGCTGCACAGTGGTGTAAGCCCACCAACTGCAGCACTAGCATTCCATATGGGATGTCCCAGCTGCCCCTCTTCTGATCCAACATTTTTGCTAATGTGCCTGGAAAAGGAGCAGAAGATGGTCCAAGTACTTGGGCCCAGGAATGAAGCTCCTGACTCCTGGCTTCAGCCTGGCCCAAGTCTGGCTGTTGGAGCCATTTGAGGAGTGAACCAGCACAGGTAAGATTTTCTCTCTCTCTCTCTCTTTCTCTCTCTGCCTCTCTCTCCATAACTCTGCCTTTGAAATAAATAAATCCTTAAAAACAAGCAAAATGTGTGCAATCAATTTCCCAAACTTGAATAAACATTTGAAAAGTCAGGTAAGTATTAAGGATAAGAGACTTTCAATCTCATGTCTGCTACTTTCTACTTGGTGATACTAGGCAAGTTAGTCACCCTCTCTGAGGCTAATTGCTTTCATCTATCAAATTGGGATAATCCTGTAAACTTCATAAGATTATTATGAGAATTAAGGAATTATTATTGTAAAGTATTTCAATAGCACCTGAAATATAAGTGCTTTTATTTTGTATTAATAATTTCAGACTACTGTTCCATTAGAAACCTTTCAGAGATGCTGGCTTAATCAAACTGAATATGTCTGAAGGATAATCAGAAGAGTAGATGCTGATGTGTTCATTTGAGACAGGTTTTGCCAAAGGAATTTCTTGTGAAATTTTTTTTTCTTGTGAAATTTAAGAACCATTAATTTCATTTTTGAAATTTGTGAGGCACATGTGATGTCTGAAAGTTAATCTGAAGAAAAATTTTCTTTTTTTATTTCTTTTTTTATTAGTAAATATAAATTTCCAAAGTACAGTTTATGGATTACAATGGCTTCCCCCCCATAATTTCCCTCCCACTCACACCCCTCCCATCTCCTGCTCCCTCTCCCATTCCATTCACATCAAGATTCATTTTAAATTATCACTATATACAGAAGATCGATTTAGTATATATTAAGTAAAGATTTCATCAGTTTGCACCCACACAGAAACATAAAGTGTAAAATACTGTGTCAGTACTAGTTATAGCATTACTTCACATTGGACAACACACTAAGGACAGATCCCACATGAGAAGTAAATACTCAGTGACTCCTGTTGTTGACACTCGTTTATGGCATCAATCTCCCTAGGCTCTAGTCATGAGTTGCCAAGGCTATGGAAGCCTTTTGAGTTTGCTGACTTTGATCTTATTCCCACAGGGTCATAGTCAAAGTGGAAGTTCTCTCCTCCCTTCAGAGAAAGGCACCTCCTTCTTTGATGGCCCTGTTCTTTCCACTGGCATCTCACTAGCAGAGATCTTTCATTTAGCTCTTCTTTTTTCTTTTTGTTGAGAGTGTCTTGGCTTTCCATGCCTAATATAATCTCATGGGCTCTTCAGCCATATCTGCATACCCTAAATTTTCAATGCAGAAAAGGGTGAAAACCCAGAAATATGAAAATGATGCTAATATGGATCTCCAAACAATTACATTATCACCAGGCAGACCAAAAACTATATCTAAAGTCTATTTATAGATACCTTTGAAGTGTCAGATAATTGAATTAATACAAATTAAGTTATGGTATTAAAATGCTCACTCGAGAAGTATTATTTTCTCAATTATTGTCATGATTTCATAATGCTCAAAAACCAAAAGAGAATATTATAAAGTATTACAAAATCTGTATTTGCTTTAAAGATTTCTTTATTTTTTGACAGGCAGAGTTAGAGAGACAGAGACAGAGAAAGAGAGGCCTTGCAAATGCTGGTCCACTTCCCAAATGGCTGCAATGGCTGGAACTGGGCCAGTATGAACTAAAGAGCCAGGAGCTCCCTCTAGGTTTCCCATGTGGGTGCAGGAGTCCTCTGCTGCCCTCTTAGGTGCACCAGCAGAAAGCTGGATCAGAAGTGCAGCAGCTAAGCCACGACCAGCACCCATGTGAGAGGCCTGGCACTGCAGACTGGGGTTTACCCGCTACACCACAGCGATGTCCCCCAAAGTTCCTGGTCTCCCATGTGGGTGCAGGGCCCAAGGACTTGGGCCATCCTACACTGCCTTCCTGAGAGCTGGACTGGAAGAGGAGCAACCGGTACAGAACCGGCATGCCAACCGGGACTAGAACCTGGGTGCCGGCGCCACAGGCGGAGGATTAGCCTAGTGAGCCACGGTGCCGTGATTTCTTTGTTTATTTACAGAGAAGAGAAATAGAGAGTGCTTCCATCCCCTGGCCATCTCCCCAAATGGGCCCAAGGACCAGGGTTGGGCAAGGCTGAAGCTAGGAGCCAGGAGCTTCTTCTAGGTCTCCCATGTGGGTAAAGGGGTTAAAGGACTTTTATACAGTGAACTCAGAGAAGTATGAAAAAGTCACCGATTAATATCACTGTATTAAAGTCACTTTAAATGTAACTAACCTAATACAACATTACTAAAGGATAGGGTCAGATAGAAACGATCACAAATAATATCCAACCAAATAGTGTTTGCAAGAAACCTACTTTACGTATAAAGACACAAGTGGAATAAAAATGAGAGAATAGAGGAAGCCATTTCGTGCTAACACTAATTTTGAAAAAGCAAGAATGGCTGTATTAATTTCAGAAAAGGCAGAGTTCAAAGTAAGGAAATTGTCATTTGTAACAAGGGCCATTAAGTAATGATAAAGGAATGATTTTTGCAGGAAAACATAACAATCCTTTGACCAGACACCTCACCCTGAAGATATACAGACAGTCCTTAAGCATATCAAAACATGCTCACAGTCATACAGTGGTAGAGAATTGCAAATTAACACGATAAGATACTAAAAAATGTCTATTAGAAGGGCTAAAATCCCTGAAATATGCCAAAATACTGAAATATACCAATATACTGAAAATACCAAATACTGGCAAGGATGTGGAGCAGTGGGAACCCTCATTCATTGCTGGTGGGAATGCAAGATAATGCAGCCACCTTCCAAAACAGTTTGACAGTTTCTTGCAAAGCCAAACATAGTCTCACTATACAACCCAGAAAATGCACCCTTAAGTATTTACTCAATTGGCTTGAAAGTTATGTCCACATGGAAACTGACATACAGATATTTCTAGCAGCTTTATTCATAATTATTAAGAATTGGAAGCAACCAACATATCCTTCGATAGAGGAGTGTATAAACAAACCAGCATGTACATAAAATGGCATATTTGTCAGCACTAAAAATATTTGAACCATGTAGCCATGACAAAGCTTGCTGAAACCTTGAATGCATATGGTTAAGTTAAAGAAGCCAATATGACAAGGCTACTTACTATATGATTCTAGCTATATGACATTCTAGAAAGGTATAGAGACAGGAAAAATGAGCAGTAGTTGTCAGGCACTGGTGGATGAGTAGAGGAATGAATATAGGAGACAGGGAAGTTTTAGGGCAGGGAAATTTATGCTGTAATGATGGACCATGACACCATGCATTTAGCAAAACACATAGAACTGTGCAATACAATGAATGGACCTCAACTATGGGTTTTATTTGGTATATTAGCAAGTGTACCACAAGAATATAAGGTGTTAGGAATAGAAGAAACTGTCTGAGACAGAATGAGTATAATCAGTATATGGAAACTTTCAGTACTTTAATTTTTCCACAAATAAATTTTCTCTAAAAAATAAGGTATACTAGAAACAAAGTACAAAGAAAAAAATCATTCTGATCTCATGCTCTCTCTTCAGTTTATACAATCTTATAGTTTAGGTAGATGCTGACCTACATTACTGGCTTCAGGCTAACCAAATGGCCACCAGGGACTAATTTTTGCCATTCAACTGTCATTGTTCCAGCATTTTCCCCACCCCTTTATTTGTAACCTTACGTCCACTTTTATCCAGATGGATTTCCCCATCCCTACACTGTCATTTCCCTCTCACTTCCCAAAGTTCTCTGACATTGACCAGAACGAGACAGAGAACAGAATGTGGGGAAGGAATCTTAACCATCACATTGGTGCTTCCCCTTGCTTCCTTCTATTTCTAGTAAATAATTACATTCACAAGGACACACGCCCCCTCACATACACACACAAGCGTATTTTGAGGCAGGCTTACAGGTCTCGCTGCCATGATCCTAAACTGTGGCTTTAGTTCCCATCATGTGTCTCTAGGCTTTCGCATGTATGACTTATTCTTTGTTCCCTGAAACTCCTGTCTGGAAAGAGCATCATTTCATCCAAATTGTCTGATGGTTTTTTTTTTTTTTTTCCGTTTGTTTTCACAGGGATGATAATCCGTTGACAGACATTTTGGTTGTCCCTAACCAGAATGTCAATAATAGGTGAGTTTGTTTTCTGTTATCTGCATGGGAAACCATTTTGGAGTCGTTATGACAACACACAGTTAATTTACAGCCTGTCAGTGTCTGCGTGTAACCTGTTTGTGTTTTCTACCTAGATGTAAAAAAGTGAGCCAGGTCAGAAAATATGTACTCATGATATGTTTGTGTACCTCAGAAACCAGAAACCTGAGCCTATCACAATTCAGAACCCAGGCAACTATCAGAATACCTGTGTGTGAGATGCACAGTGACACAAGGGAGAAGAGAACCCATTTTGGAAGCAAGCACTTGGTAGATGTAGGCAGGGAGCACAGGAGGCCTCAGTGCAAAGAAAGGAGCTAATCTTCCCAGGATTAATCCCTCATGCTCCAGGGCACTGCCACCACGTGAGGCTAATCCACTCAGCCCAAACCCACCATCACACTGGGTGGAACTCTTGCTTCTAGCCTGCAGTGAGTCAACCCTATCTATGGAGCAGGAAAGGCAACCATGATGGGTTTAATCAAGGAGATGGTGAGAGGGAGGCTGTTAAAGCAGGAAATCAGATGGGACAAGAGGTATAGGTACTTAGAACTTGAAGAGGTCTAGGAGGTAGTTACAGAGAGTGGCTGCACAATGGGTATCGAAAGAAAGTTAGAAGGAGAAAGTCCTAGAGTTCCACAGCACAGTGGGGTGACGATAGCCTATTACATATTCACAAAGAACTGGAAGAGAGAACCTCAGCATCTCCAAACATAATGAAAGAATAATGAGATGAAAATGCTAATTACCCTGATTTGGTCAGTGTATGCTGTGTACATGTGTTTTAATATCATTAAACCCATAGATAATGAAATTGTTACAGTTAATAAAATTTTCAAAAAGTCTTGAGGCATGAATATTTACTTTATAGGCCTAAGAACTTAATTTCCACCATATAAAACTTTTTTACTTTGGACAAAAAGGAGTGAGCCTATTAGCACATCAGCTCACATTGTGAGTTACCAGGCTAAGGATAGAAACAATCAAATTCGGGGGACAATATTCATTCTATAACAAAAAGGAATTGAGGAGGAATCCTGTTTGCACTAAGGAGAAGGTAAAATTGAGCACAGAGAGAGGAGCCCTAAGCACAGAAAAATAAAACTAACAGACCCTAGGAATGTCCCAAAGCCTCAAGATACCCATAATCCATGCCAGACACACTTCCACAAACTTTTGGATGGACCCTCAAACATACGAGTAAAAATCCATTTGTATCTAGAATAACTGTACTGATTTCATCTGAAATTTTTGAATAACTGCGACTTTTTAGTTTAACCAATTTAAAATTGTAGATCAATTACAACTAATTTGAATAAAAAGTGAAGTTCATGGATTCACGTGGTGTTTGATTATGTACAATTTAATCCTCAGCCCTGCTCTAAATGAAGCAGTATCCACTCATGGCGGAGTCGAAAATGAAAGGTCAGATACCTACTTGTATACAGATATATACACATATGTCTAAATACATATTAAATGTAGATTTCCTTCAAAACTGTTTCTAAAGTATTGGCAGTGCCAGCTTTTGTTTGTAACTTTTTTTCCTTTTTTGCATCCAGTTCTATAAAAGAGGAACAGGTCAGAAGAAACAGACTTCTTCCCATCTTGATAACTAGTTCCAAAATTCTTGGAAAACTATCAGATCATTTGTGCATGCAACTGTAGTAGAGTGGGCAGTGTTCATTTGCTAGAGCTAATGTAACAACACATGACAAGCTGAGTGTCTTAAACAAGTTTATTATATAACAGACCTAGGGGTTAGAACTGGAAAATGAACTACTGCACATAGGCTTTTTGGAGGTCAGTAACAACGTATCTGTTCTATGCCTCTCTCCTAGCTATTGCCAATTGCTGTCCATCTATGGTATTCCTTGGCACTTAGATTCCTTACCCAGGTCTCTGCTCACATATGCACATGGCATGCTTTCTGTTTGTGCCTGCGTTCACATTTTTCTTTTTATAAGGGCACCAGTCATATTGGATCAGGAGCTCACTCTATGCCAATAGAACCTCGTCTTAACTGCTTAGTTTCCAGTGAGCCTATTAGCACATCAGCTCACATTGTGAGTTACAAGGCTAAGGATAGAAACAATCAAATTCGGGGGACAATATTCATTCTATAACAAAAGGAATTGAGGAGGAATCCTGTTTGCACTAAGGAGAAGGTAAAATTGAGCACAGAGAAGAGGAGCCCTAAGCACAGAAAAATAAAACTAACAGACCCTAGAAATGTCCCAAAGCCTCAAGACACCCATAACCCATGCCAGACACACTATTGGATGAATGAACCCTGACTCAGGTCTGCAGCTACCTGACCATATCTCATGGACAAGAACCACAAACATGGGTGAAAGTAAGGAGGTGAAGGTGAGACTTGAGAATCAAGAATTTAGGTGAGGTGAGAGTGATGTGTCCCTACAAATTGAAGTTGAGTTGAAGGAAGTGACACCACAAAGGGCTATCTCTCTCTGGGACTAAGTTAATAATAGTTTTAATTATATCTAGAGCATTACTAAGTTCATATCACTAAGAAGTTTATACCTGAAATATGAAGTCGTGTTCCTAATAACATCAACACTGGGTTTAAGTAGTGACTAAAGACCACCTAGTTTATGAGTACCTATAGCTCTCGGATCCAACAAAGTAAGTTTATAATAGGTCACACATGGATGAATCAACATCATTAATAAATAAAAATAAATTATTTTGCACTAAAGTACTTACGTTCTTATTTAATTTCCACAAACTTTTGGAAGGACCCCCAACATATGAGTAAAAATCCATTTGTATCTAGAATAACTGTACTGATTTCATCTGAAAAACTTAGCTTAAAATCAGCATCCTTTCTGATTGTGTACTTTTGCTTTATAATCTCTTAGCCCAACCAGGGTAAACTGAACTCTGTCACTATGGAAGACCCTAATGAATGGTGAGTTCAAACAAATTCTTTAAAAGAATTATTTTTATTCATGTGAAAGTGTTAGAGAGGTAGGTAGGTAAGATAGAGGAGAAAGACAGAGACAGAGACAGAGATAGAGACAGAGAGAGAGAGGCCTTGCAAATGCTGGTCCACTTCCCAAATGGCTGCAATGGCTGGAACTGGGCCAGTATGAACTAAAGAGCCAGGAGCTCCCTCTAGGTTTCCCATGTGGGTGCAGTCCTCTGCTGCCCTCTTAGGTGCACCAGCAGAAAGCTGGATCAGAAGTGCAGCAGCTAAGCCACGACCAGCACCCATGTGAGAGGCCTGGCACTGCAGACTGGGGTTTACCCTACACACAGCGATGTCCCCCAAAGTTCCTGGTCTCCCATGTGGGTGCAGGGCCCAAGGACTTGGGCCATCCTACACTGCCTTCCTGAGAGAGCTGGACTGGAAGAGGAGCAACCGGGACAGAACCGGCATGCCAACCGGGACTAGAACCTGGTGCCGGCGCCACAGGCGGAGGATTAGCCTAGTGAGCCACGGTGCCGGCTGATTTCTTTGTTTATTTTACAGAGAAGAGAAATAGAGAGTGCTTCCATCCCCTGGCCATCTCCCCAAATGGGCCCAAGGACCAGGGTTGGGCAAGGCTGAAGCTAGGAGCCAGGAGCTTCTTCTAGGTCTCCCATGTGGGTAAAGGGGTTAAAGGACTTTTATACAGTGAACTCAGAGAAGTATGAAAAAGTCACCGATTAATATCACTGTATTAAAGTCACTTTAAATGTAACTAACCTAATACAACATTACTAAAGGATAGGGTCAGATAGAAACGATCACAAATAATATCCAACCAAATAGTGTTTGCAAGAAACCTACTTTACGTATAAAGACACAAGTGGAATAAAAGAGAGAATAGAGGAAGCCATTTCGTGCTAACACTAATTTTGAAAAAGCAAGAATGGCTGTATTAATTTCAGAAAAGGCAGAGTTCAAAGTAAGGAAATTGTCATTTGTAACAAGGGCCATTAAGTAATGATAAAGGAATGATTTATTTAACAATTACCAAAACATTTTTATTGTAGAGTTTGTTTCTGACTTTAACTCTATAATTAATCTAAACTCTCCATTGTTAAGTACAAATCCACAGCATGTTGTCACATATTTCTCTTTCAGTTTGGAATTCTTGATATCCAAGTCCTTTTTCTTTTTTTTTTTTAACTTTTTTTAATGAATATAAATTTCCAAAGTACGGCTTATGGATTACAATGGCTTCCCCCCCATAACATCTCTCCCACCCGCATCCCTCCCCTTTCCCACTCCCTCTCCCCTTCCATTCACATGAGGATTCATTTTTGATTCTCTTTATATACAGAAGATCAGTTTAGTGTACATTAAGTAAAGATTTCAACAGTTAGCTCCCACACAAACATAAAGTGAAAACTAATAGATGATTTTTTAAATGATGATGAAATCAGATCAGACCTATTGTCATGTTTAATCCCAGCGAGAGTCAAGTTGGGAATTAATAATTTCTTCTTCTTCTTTTTTTTTTTTTTTACAGAAGATAAGTTTAGTATACATTAAGTAAAGATTTCAACAGTTTGCACCCCCATAGAAACACAAAGCGAAATATACTGTTTGAGTACTCATTATAGCATTAAGTCTCAATGTACAGCACATTAAGGACAGAGATCCTACATGAGGAGTAAGTGCACAGTGACTCCTGTTGTTGACTTTACAAATTGACACTCCTGTTTTCATCATCAGTAATCTCCCTATGCAACAGTCATGAGTTTCCAAGGCTATGGAAGCCTTTTGAGTTCACCGACTCTTATCTTGTTTAGACAAGGTCATATTCAAAGTGGAGGTTCTCTCCTCCCTTCAGAGAAAGGTACCTCCTTCTTTGAAGACCTGTTCTTAAGGAATGATTTTTGTGGGAAAACATAACAATCCTTTGACCAGACACCTCACCCTGAAGATATACAGACAGTCCTTAAGCATATCAAAACATGCTCACAGTCATACAGTGGTAGAGAATTGCAAATTAAACGATAAGATACTAAAAAAATGTCTATTAGAAGGGCTAAAATCCCTGAAATATGCCAAAATACTGAAATATACCAATATACTGAAAATACCAAATACTGGCAAGGATGTGGAGCAGTGGGAACCCTCATTCATTGCTGGTGGGAATGCAAGAATATGCAGCCACCTTCCAAAACAGTTTGACAGTTTCTTGCAAAGCCAAACATAGTCTCACTATACAACCCAGAAAATGCACCCTTAAGTATTTACTCAATTGGCTTGAAAGTTATGTCCACATGGAAACTGACATACAGATATTTCTAGCAGCTTTATTCATAATTATTAAGAATTGGAAGCAACCAACATATCCTTCGATAGAGGAGTGTATAAACAAACCAGCATGTACATAAAATGGCATATTTGTCAGCACTAAAAATATTTGAACCATGTAGCCATGACAAAGCTTGCTGAAACCTTGAATGCATATGGTTAAGTTAAAGAAGCCAATATGACAAGGCTACTTACTATATGATTCTAGCTATATGACATTCTAGAAAGGTATAGAGACAGGAAAAATGAGCAGTAGTTGTCAGGCACTGGTGGATGAGTAGAGGAATGAATAGGTAGGAGACAGGGAAGTTTTAGGGCAGGGAAATTTATGCTGTAATGATGGACCATGACACCATGCATTTAGCAAAACACATAGAACTGTGCAATACAATGAATGGACCTCAACTATGGGTTTTATTTGGTATATTAGCAAGTGTACCACAAGAATATAAGGTGTTAGGAATAGAAGAAACTGTCTGAGACAGAATGAGTATAATCAGTATATGGAAACTTTCAGTACTTTAATTTTTCCACAAATAAATTTTCTCTAAAAAATAAGGTATACTAGAAACAAAGTACAAAGAAAAATAATCATTCTGATCTCATGCTCTCTCTTCAGTTTATACAATCTTATAGTTTAGGTAGATGCTGACCTACATTACTGGCTTCAGGCTAACCAAATGGCCACCAGGGACTAATTTTTGCCATTCAACTGTCATTGTTCCAGCATTTTCCCCACCCCTTTATTTGTAACCTTACGTCCACTTTTATCCAGATGGATTTCCCCATCCCTACACTGTCATTTCCCTCTCACTTCCCAAAGTTCTCTGACATTGACCAGAACGAGACAGAGAACAGAATGTGGGGAAGGAATCTTAACCATCACATTGGTGCTTCCCCTTGCTTCCTTCTATTTCTAGTAAATAATTACATTCACAAGGACACACGCCCCCTCACATACACACACAAGCGTATTTTGAGGCAGGCTTACAGGTCTCGCTGCCATGATCCTAAACTGTGGCTTTAGTTCCCATCATGTGTCTCTAGGCTTTCGCATGTATGACTTATTCTTTGTTCCCTGAAACTCCTGTCTGGAAAGAGCATCATTTCATCCAAATTGTCTGATGGTTTTTTTTTTTTTTTCCGTTTGTTTTCACAGGGATGATAATCCGTTGACAGACATTTTGGTTGTCCCTAACCAGAATGTCAATAATAGGTGAGTTTGTTTTCTGTTATCTGCATGGGAAACCATTTTGGAGTCGTTATGACAACACACAGTTAATTTACAGCCTGTCAGTGTCTGCGTGTAACCTGTTTGTGTTTTCTACCTAGATGTAAAAAAGTGAGCCAGGTCAGAAAATATGTACTCATGATATGTTTGTGTACCTCAGAAACCAGAAACCTGAGCCTATCACAATTCAGAACCCAGGCAACTATCAGAATACCTGTGTGTGAGATGCACAGTGACACAAGGGAGAAGAGAACCCATTTTGGAAGCAAGCACTTGGTAGATGTAGGCAGGGAGCACAGGAGGCCTCAGTGCAAAGAAAGGAGCTAATCTTCCCAGGATTAATCCCTCATGCTCCAGGGCACTGCCACCACGTGAGGCTAATCCACTCAGCCCAAACCCACCATCACACTGGGTGGAACTCTTGCTTCTAGCCTGCAGTGAGTCAACCCTATCTATGGAGCAGGAAAGGCAACCATGATGGGTTTAATCAAGGAGATGGTGAGAGGGAGGCTGTTAAAGCAGGAAATCAGATGGGACAAGAGGTATAGGTACTTAGAACTTGAAGAGGTCTAGGAGGTAGTTACAGAGAGTGGCTGCACAATGGGTATCGAAAGAAAGTTAGAAGGAGAAAGTCCTAGAGTTCCACAGCACAGTGGGGTGACGATAGCCTATTACATAGTTCACAAAGAACTGGAAGAGAGAACCTCAGCATCTCCAAACATAATGAAAGAATAATGAGATGAAAATGCTAATTACCCTGATTTGGTCAGTGTATGCTGTGTACATGTGTTTTAATATCATTAAACCCATAGATAATGAAATTGTTACAGTTAATAAAATTTTCAAAAAGTCTTGAGGCATGAATATTTACTTTATAGGCCTAAGAACTTAATTTCCACCATATAAAACTTTTTTACTTTGGACAAAAAGGAGTGAGCCTATTAGCACATCAGCTCACATTGTGAGTTACCAGGCTAAGGATAGAAACAATCAAATTCGGGGGACAATATTCATTCTATAACAAAAAGGAATTGAGGAGGAATCCTGTTTGCACTAAGGAGAAGGTAAAATTGAGCACAGAGAAGAGGAGCCCTAAGCACAGAAAAATAAAACTAACAGACCCTAGGAATGTCCCAAAGCCTCAAGATACCCATAATCCATGCCAGACACACTTCCACAAACTTTGGATGGACCCTCAAACATACGAGTAAAAATCCATTTGTATCTAGAATAACTGTACTGATTTCATCTGAATTTTTGAATAACTGCGACTTTTAGGTTTAACCATTTAAAATTGTAGATCAATTACAACTAATTTGAATAAAAAGTGAAGTTCATGGATTCACGTGGTGTTTGATTATGTACAATTAATCCTCAGCCCTGCTCTAAATGAAGCAGTATCCACTCATGGCGGAGTCGAAAATGAAAGGTCAGATACCTACTTGTATACAGATATATACACATATGTCTAAATACATATTAAATGTAGATTTCCTTCAAAAACTGTTTCTAAAGTATTGGCAGTTGCCAGCTTTTGTTGTAACTTTTTTCCTTTTTTGCATCCAGTTCTATAAAAGAGGAACAGGTCAGAAGAAACAGACTTCTTCCCATCTTGATAACTAGTTCCAAAATTCTTGGAAACTATCAGATCATTTGTGCATGCAACTGTAGTAGAGTGGGCAGTGTTCTATTTGCTAGAGCTAATGTAACAACACATGACAAGCTGAGTGTCTTAACAGTTTATTATATAACAGACCTAGGGGTTAGAACTGGAAAATGAACTACTGCACATAGGCTTTTGGAGGTCAGTAACAACGTATCTGTTCTATGCCTCTCTCCTAGCTATTGCCAATTGCTGTCCATCTATGGTATTCCGTGGCACTTAGATTCCTTACCCAGGTCTCTGCTCACATATGCACATGGCATGCTTTCTGTTTGTGCCTGCGTTCACATTTTCTTTTTATAAGGGCACCAGTCATATTGGATCAGGAGCTCACTCTATGCCAATAGAACCTCGTCTTAACTGCTTAGTTTCCAGTGAGCCTATTAGCACATCAGCTCACATTGTGAGTTACAAGGCTAAGGATAGAAACAATCAAATTCGGGGGACAATATTCATTCTATAACAAAAAGGAATTGAGGAGGAAATCCTGTTTGCACTAAGGAGAAGGTAAAATTGAAGCACAGAGAAGAGGAGCCCTAAGCACAGAAAAATAAAACTAACAGACCCTAGGAATGTCCCAAAGCCTCAAGACAACCCATAACCCATGCCAGACACACTATTGGATGAATGAACCCTGACTCAGGTCTGCAGCTACCTGACCATATCTCATGGACAAGAACCACAAACATGGTGAAAGTAGGATGTGAAGGTGAGACTTGAGAATCAAGAATTTAGGTGAGGTGAGAGTGATGTGTCCCTACAAATTGAAGGTTGAGTTGAAGGAAGTGACACCACAAAGGGCTATCTCTCTCTGGGACTAAGTTAATAATAGTTTTAAATTATATCTAGAGCATTACTAAGTTCATATCACTAAGAAGTTTATACCTGAAATATGAAGTCGTGTTCCTAATAACATCAACACTGGGTTTAAGTAGTGACTAAAAGACCACCTAGTTTATGAGTACCTATAGCTCTCGGATCCAACAAAGTAAGTTATATAGGTCACACATGGATGAATCAACATCATTAATAAATAAAAATAAAATTATTTTGCACTAAAGTACTTACGTTCTTATTTAATTTCCACAAACTTTGGAAGGACCCCCAAACATATGAGTAAAAATCCATTTGTATCTAGAATAACTGTACTGATTTCATCTGAAAAACTTAGCTTAAAATCAGCATCCTTTCTGATTGTGTACTTTTGCTTTATAATCTCTTAGCCCAAACCAGGGTAAACTGAACTCTGTCACTATGGAAGACCCTAATGAATGGTGAGTTCAAACAAATTCTTTAAAAGAATTATTTTTATTCATGTGAAAGTGTTAGAGAGGTAGGTAGGTAGGTAGAGAGAGAGACAGAGACAGAGACAGAGACAGAGATAGAGACAGAGAGAGAGAGGCCTTGCAAATGCTGGTCCACTTCCCAAATGGCTGCAATGGCTGGAACTGGGCCAATATGAACTAAAGAGCCAGGAGCTCCCTCTAGGTTTCCCATGTGGGTGCAGGAGTCCTCTGCTGCCCTCTTAGGTGCACCAGCAGAAAGCTGGATCAGAAGTGCAGCAGCTAAGCCACGACCAGCACCCATGTGAGAGGCCTGGCACTGCAGACTGGGGTTTACCCGCTACACCACAGCGATGTCCCCCAAAGTTCCTGGTCTCCCATGTGGGTGCAGGGCCCAAGGACTTGGGCCATCCTACACTGCCTTCCTGGGCCACAGCAGAGAGCTGGACTGGAAGAGGAGCAACCGGGACAGAACCGGCATGCCAACCGGGACTAGAACCTGGGTGCCGGCGCCACAGGCGGAGGATTAGCCTAGTGAGCCACGGTGCCGGCTGATTTCTTTGTTTATTTACAGAGAAGAGAAATAGAGAGTGCTTCCATCCCCTGGCCATCTCCCCAAATGGGCCCAAGGACCAGGTTGGGCAAGGCTGAAGCTAGGAGCCAGGAGCTTCTTCTAGGTCTCCCATGTGGGTAAAGGGTGTTAAAGGACTTTTATACAGTGAACTCAGAGAAGTATGAAAAAGTCACCGATTAATATCACTGTATTAAAGTCACTTTAAATGTAACTAACCTAATACAACATTACTAAAGGATAGGGTCAGATAGAAACGATCACAAATAATATCCAACCAAATAGTGTTTGCAAGAAACCTACTTTACGTATAAAGACACAAGTGGAATAAAAATGAGAGAATAGAGGAAGCCATTTCGTGCTAACACTAATTTTGAAAAAGCAAGAATGGCTGTATTAATTTCAGAAAAGGCAGAGTTCAAAGTAAGGAAATTGTCATTTGTAACAAGGGCCATTAGTAATGATAAAGGAATGATTTATTTAACAATTACCAAACATTTTTATTGTAGAGTTTGTTTCTGACTTTAACTCTATAATTAATCTAAACTCTCCATTGTTAAGTACAAATCCACAGCATGTTGTCACATATTTCTCTTTCAGTTGGAATTCTTGATATCCAAGTCCTTTTCTTTTTTTTTTTAACTTTTATTTAATGAATATAAATTTCCAAGTACGGCTTATGGATTACAATGGCTTCCCCCCCATAACATCTCTCCCACCCGCATCCCTCCCCTTTCCACTCCCTCTCCCCTTCCATTCACATGAGGATTCATTTTGATTCTCTTTATATACAGAAGATCAGTTTAGTGTACATTAAGTAAAGATTTCAACAGTTAGCTCCCACACAAACATAAAGTGAAAACTAATAGATGATTTTTTAAATGATGATGAAATCAGATCAGACCTATTGTCATGTTTAATCCCAGCGAGAGTCAAGTTGGGAATTAATAATTTCTTCTTCTTCTTTTTTTTTTTTTTACAGAAGATAAGTTTAGTATACATTAAGTAAAGATTTCAACAGTTTGCACCCCCATAGAAACACAAAGCGAAATATACTGTTTGAGTACTCATTATAGCATTAAGTTCTCAATGTACAGCACATTAAGGACAGAGATCCTACATGAGGAGTAAGTGCACAGTGACTCCTGTTGTTGACTTTACAATTGACACTCCTGTTTATGGCATCAGTAATCTCCCTATGCAACAGTCATGAGTTTCCAAGGCTATGGAAGCCTTTTGAGTTCACCGACTCTTATCTTGTTTAGACAAGGTCATATTCAAAGTGGAGGTTCTCTCCTCCCTTCAGAGAAAGGTACCTCCTTCTTTGAAGACCTGTTCTTAAGGAATGATTTTTGTGGGAAAACATAACAATCCTTTGACCAGACACCTCTCCCTGAAGATATACAGACAGTCCTTAAGCATATCAAACATGCTCACAGTCATACAGTGGTAGAGAATTGCAAATTAACACGATAAGATACTAAAAAAATGTCTATTAGAAGGGCTAAAATCCCTGAAATATGCCAAAATACTGAAATATACCATATACTGAAAATACCAAATACTGGCAAGGATGTGGAGCAGTGGGAACCCTCATTCATTGCTGGTGGGAATGCAAGAATATGCAGCCACCTTCCAAAACAGTTTGACAGTTTCTTGCAAAGCCAAACATAGTCTCACTATACAACCCAGAAATGCACCCTTAAGTATTTACTCAATTGGCTTGAAAGTTATGTCCACATGGAAACTGACATACAGATTATTCTAGCAGCTTTATTCATAATTATTAAGAATTGGGAAGCAACCAACATATCCTTCGATAGAGGAGGTGTATAAACAAACCAGCCATGTACATAAAATGGCATATTTGTCAGCACTAAAAATATTTGAACCATGTAGCCATGACAAAGCTTGCTGAAACCTTGAATGCATATGGTTAAGTTAAAGAAGCCAATATGACAAGGCTACTTACTATATGATTCTAGCTATATGACATTCTAGAAAGGTATAGAGACAGGAAAAATGAGCAGTAGTTGTCAGGCACTGGTGGATGAGTAGAGGAATGAATAGGTAGGAGACAGGGAAGTTTAGGGCAGGGAAATTTATGCTGTAATGATGGACCATGACACCATGCATTTAGCAAAACACATAGAACTGTGCAATACAATGAATGGACCTCAACTATGGGTTTTATTTGGTATATTAGCAAGTGTACCACAAGAATATAAGGTGTTAGGAATAGAAGAACTGTCTGAGACAGAATGAGTATAATCAGTATATGGAAACTTTCAGTACTTTAATTTTTCCACAAATAAATTTTCTCTAAAAAATAAGGTATACTAGAAACAAAGTACAAAGAAAAATAATCATTCTGATCTCATGCTCTCTCTTCAGTTTATACAATCTTATAGTTTAGGTAGATGCTGACCTACATACTGGCTTCAGGCTAACCAAATGGCCACCAGGGACTAATTTTTGCCATTCAACTGTCATTGTTCCAGCATTTTCCCCACCCCTTTATTTGTAACCTTACGTCCACTTTTATCCAGATGGATTTCCCCATCCCTACACTGTCATTTCCCTCTCACTTCCCAAAGTTCTCTGACATTGACCAGAACGAGACAGAGAACAGAATGTGGGGAAGGAATCTTAACCATCACATTGGTGCTTCCCCTTGCTTCCTTCTATTTCTAGTAAATAATTACATTCACAAGGACACACGCCCCCTCACATACACACACAAGCGTATTTTGAGGCAGGCTTACAGGTCTCGCTGCCATGATCCTAAACTGTGCTTTAGTTCCCATCATGTGTCTCTAGGCTTTCGCATGTATGACTTATTCTTTGTTCCCTGAAACTCCTGTCTGGAAAGAGCATCATTTCATTCCAAATTGTCTGATGGTTTTTTTTTTTTCCGTTTGTTTTTCACAGGGATGATAATCCGTTGACAGACATTTTGGTTGTCCCTAACCAGAATGTCAATAATAGGTGAGTTTGTTTTCTGTTATCTGCATGGGAAACCATTTTGGAGTCGTTATGACAACACACAGTTAATTTACAGCCTGTCAGTGTCTGCGTGTAACCTGTTTGTGTTTTCTACCTAGATGTAAAAAAGTGAGCCAGGTCAGAAAATATGTACTCATGATATGTTTGTGTACCTCAGAAACCAGAAACCTGAGCCTATCACAATTCAGAACCCAGGCAACTATCAGAATACCTGTGTGTGAGATGCACAGTGACACAAGGGAGAAGAGAACCCATTTTGGAAGCAAGCACTTGGTAGATGTAGGCAGGGAGCACAGGAGGCCTCAGTGCAAAGAAAGGAGCTAATCTTCCCAGGATTAATCCCTCATGCTCCAGGGCACTGCCACCACGTGAGGCTAATCCACTCAGCCCAAACCCACCATCACACTGGGTGGAACTCTTGCTTCTAGCCTGCAGTGAGTCAACCCTATCTATGGAGCAGGAAAGGCAACCATGATGGGTTTAATCAAGGAGATGGTGAGAGGGAGGCTGTTAAAGCAGGAAATCAGATGGGACAAGAGGTATAGGTACTTAGAACTTGAAGAGGTCTAGGAGGTAGTTACAGAGAGTGGCTGCACAATGGGTATCGAAAGAAAGTTAGAAGGAGAAAGTCCTAGAGTTCCACAGCACAGTGGGGTGACGATAGCCTATTACATAGTTCACAAGAACTGGAAGAGAGAACCTCAGCATCTCCAAACATAATGAAAGAATAATGAGATGAAAATGCTAATTACCCTGATTTGGTCAGTGTATGCTGTGTACATGTGTTTTAATATCATTAAACCCATAGATAATGAAATTGTTACAGTTAATAAAATTTTCAAAAGTCTTGAGGCATGAATATTTACTTTATAGGCCTAAGAACTTAATTTCCACCATATAAAACTTTTTTACTTTGGACAAAAAGGAGTGAGCCTATTAGCACATCAGCTCACATTGTGAGTTACCAGGCTAAGGATAGAAACAATCAAATTCGGGGGACAATATTCATTCTATAACAAAAAGGAATTGAGGAGGAATCCTGTTTGCACTAAGGAGAAGGTAAAATTGAGCACAGAGAAGAGGAGCCCTAAGCACAGAAAAATAAAACTAACAGACCCTAGGAATGTCCCAAAGCCTCAAGATACCCATAATCCATGCCAGACACACTTCCACAAACTTTTGGATGGACCCTCAAACATACGAGTAAAAATCCATTTGTATCTAGAATAACTGTACTGATTTCATCTGAAATTTTTAAATAATAAATATTTTAATTAATATTTAATTTAATATTTTAAATAATAAATAATTTTTAAATATACTTTTGCAATTTCCATGCAAAAGTATATTTCTCTTCTTTGTTTCTATCTATAGAACTCCTTTAAGCATTGTTTATAAAGCTGTTCAGATATAGACAGCTTTCTTCAATGTTTGTTTGTCTCAGAATATATCTCTTCATTCATGAAATATAGCTAAGCTGGTCAAAGTATTCTGATAGACTTTTTTTTTTTCAGAACTTGACTATATCTTTCTGTTTTCTCCTGGCCTGTATTGTTTCTGTTGAAACCACGGTTACTCTTCTAATGATGTTTCTAGTGAAGGTCACTTGATAATTTTCTCTGGCAGATTTTAATATTCTTTGTGTTGTACTTTAGAGAGTTTGACAGAATATGTCATGGTGAAGTTCTTTTCTAGTCATGTCTATTTGAGGTTCTGTGGGCCTTCTATCCTAGCATGTCCATATCTTTCTCTAGGTATGGAAGGAACCTGGGATGTTTTCCAGCCATTATTTCAATGAGTCGGTTTTCTAGTCCATTAATCCTCTGTTCTCTCTCAGGGATTCCCATAACTTGGATATTATTTGTTTGGTAGTTTCCCAACAGTCTCATAGACTGTCTTCATTCTGTCTTTTTACTTTTTTGTTTGTTTTGTTTGATGACTGAGATGATATTCCAAATGATCTGTATTCAAATTCAGATATTCTTTTTTCTGTTTGATCAAGTCTGTTGTTGAGGCTTTTCAACTGTATTTTTCAATTTTTATTAGATAAATATAAATTTCCAAAGTACAACTTTTGGATTATAGTGGTTTTCCCCCCCGTAATCACCCTCCTACCCACAATCATCCCATATCCCACTTCCTCTCCCATCCCATTCTTCATCAAGATTCATTTTCAATTATCTTTATATACAGAAGATCAATTTAGTATGTACTAAGTAAAGATTTCAACATCAACTGTATTTTTTATTTGATCTGGTGAGTTCATCCCCAAGATTTGTTTGGTTCTTCTTTAGGATGTCTATCTCCTTCCTGAATATCTCATTGATTTTGTGCATTGTTTTCTGATTTTGTTTAGCTATTTATCTGTGTTCAGTTGTATCTCTTTGACCACCATATAATCATTCTTTTGAATACTTTTCCAGGAATTTCATCAATCTCTCTTCTTGGAACCTAATACAAGAATGGTATTTTGTTCCAGACATACATGTGCACACAGACATAAATGTGTCTTTGAGCATTTCAAATAATTAATGTGAAAATATAATTAAAATGTAATGTACACTTTATATGAAATTTTTGAAATAAATTTGTGTACATAGCTATATTTATACACATGTTAATATATATACATGTTGATATTCAAACATCTGTCCAAAGCATACATGTACACACACAGACACAATATACACAGAAGCCATGAAAAGAAATAGAGGTCAAGATATATAATATTTACTGGGAGAAGTATCCTTAGCAACTTAGACTCTATTAGACATAATCTAAATCTTCTCACAATAAGATCTGTAAATAACTTACAGATCTGTAAATATATATATATATATATATATATATATATATAAAAACTAAAGCTTTCCATTTATTGTCTCTACTGCATTGAGCCACAGAATGAAAGAAATCTATGGGAAGCAAAAAAGAAATAATGGACAGGAAACAGTGACTTCCTTAGCAGAAATGATCAGAACTAATGGAACCTGGATGTGTCTCTCATACTCCAGTGCTCCGTCACTATATGAGTTTGGTGGCCCCAACCCAGTGTTATTTTGGAGAGTGCTGCAGGCTCAGGCCTGCAGTTACTTGGCTGTATGTTCAGAGAAGGAAAGTGAAATCTGTATGAAAGTAGGAAGGCGATTGAGAGACTTGAGAATTGTTATATAGGTGGTTTGGAGTGATGTGTACCTAACGTAAATTGAATTCAAAGGAAATGCTGAGGAAACAAAATGCTGTTGGGGGTGATGTTTTTGTGCAGTGGGTTAAGCCACCACTTGACTCTGGCATCCTATATTAGACTTACAGTTTGAGTACTGGCTGCACCGCTAATGATCCTGCTCCCTCCCAGTGCTTCCAAGAAGCAAGCAGAAGATGGCCCAAGAAATTGAGTCCCTGACACCTACATGGGAGACCCAGATGAAGTAGCTGGCTTCTGGCTTTGGCTTAGTCTAGGCCCAGTCATTGCAGGCATTTGAGGAGTAAACTAGTAGATGGAAGATCTCTCTATGTCTCCCTCTCTAGGATTCTGTCTTTCAAATGAACAAACTAATCTTTAAGAAAAGTTTTAAGACTACAGTCACTCCTAGGAATTTAGAAGCCTTGCTATTTTCACAGGACATAGCTATCCCTTAGTGGGATGTAATGTTTCATTTCTGATTTTTAAAAAAATTTTATTTATTTGAAAGGTAGAAGTACTGATGAAGGGGACAAGACAGAGATATCTGTCATCTGCAGATTCATTCCCTAGATGGTCCCTAAAGCCAGGAAGCCAGAACCTCCTTTCAGGTCTCTCATGTGGGTACATGGACCCAAGACTTAGACCAACTTCCTCTGATATCCCAGGCACATTGTGCAAGGAGCTTGATTGGAAGTGGACCAGCCAAGGAGAGATTGAGTGCCCAGATCTGATGCCAGGATCCTAGATGGCAGCTTAATCAATGCCACTGCATTGGCCCTCATAAAGCTTCATTTCTAATAAAAATACAAACCATGTGCAGTGATATAATATGGCCATCTGGAGATCGACCAGTTCATGTCCATAATAAATGTAGTCATGTGAGCAAAAATAATAACATAAAATATTGTGTGATTTCTGACTTTGTATCTTTATATTCCCTTAGCTCACAGCCAAAAGAATCGACATCCATTACTTATGTGGAATCCATCAATGACAAGTGAGTGAAAAACAAATTCAATATGTGTATATGTATACATGAATCCCCCAAAAGACACAGGTAATAATACACAATACTTAAAATTAAGGTACTACCTGTGAACTGATTGATATAAAAATACACATGTGAATATCATTAATTTGGACATGGTAGATATTTTTGAAAACTAAAAATGAGGCCTCATGTGACAATGACTGTCTCAGAACTCTTAAATAAGTATATAATTGTTATTAAGGAAATAACTATTTCCCCTTGTCTTTCAGGTTTGCATTTATGTCAGATTATATACATTTATCTGTGTGTGTATATGTGGTGTGTTTGCATATGTATGGGTGTCTACATGAATAATCATCAAAAAGCACATGGAATATCTTTTCCCTCCTTTCATTTTCAGCCTGCGTGTATCTTGTTGGTGAGATGTGTTTCTTGTAGGCAGCAAATAGATGGGTTTTCTTTTTTTTTTTTTATTTGACAGGTAGAGTTATAGACAGTGAGAGAGAGAGAGAGAGAGAGAGAGAGAGAGAGATGTCTTCCTTCCATTGGTTCACTCCACAAATGGCCGCTATGACACTGTGCCAATCTGAAGCCAGGAGCCAGGGGCTTCTTCCCAGTCTCCCATGTGGGTGCAGGGGCCTAAACACTTGGGCCATCCTCCAATGCCCTCCCAGGCGATAGCAGAGAGCTGGACTGGAAGAGCAGCAACCAGGACTAGAACTGGCACCCAAATGGGATGCCAGCACCACAGGTGGAGGATTAACCAAGTGAGCCATGGCACTGGCCCCAGATGGGTTTTCTTTTTTAATCCATTGAACCAGTCTCTGTCATTTACCTGGATAGATAGGCCATTTATATTCAAGGAGACTACTGATAAATAACAACTTTGCCCTACCATCTTTCCATAAACATTCCTATTTTTTATTTTGTATTTCCTTTGTACTTTTACTGAGAGGTTTTCTGCCTTTACCTTCTTTCATAGTGATAACTATGTTTCTGTGTTTCTGTGTGCAGCACATCCTTAAGCATCTCTTGTAAGGCTGGGTTGGTGGTGACAAATTCTTTCAATTTGTTTTTTATGGAAGGTCTTTATTACACCTTCATTCATAAATGAGAGCTTTGCAGGGTTCACTATTCTGAAGACAATTTTTTCTTTTATTCTTGGACTATATCTCACTATTCTCTCTTAGCTTTTAGGGTCTCTGATGAGAAATCTGTTGGTTGTAGATCTTTGGATTGTTTCTGGTGTTTCTAATTGTTCCATTGGTCTATCCATCTGTTTCTGTACCGGTGCCAGGCTGTTTTGATTATAACTGCCCTGTATTATGTCTTAAAACCAGATATTGTGATGCCTCCAGCTCTGTTTTTGTTGTATAAGATTGCTTTAGCTATTTAGATGTCCTGTGCCTCCATATGAATTTCAGATTCATTTTTTTTTCTGCATCTGGGAAGAATGTCTGTGGTATTTTGATTAGTATTGCATTGAATCAGTAAATTGCTTTTGGAAGAATGGACATTTTGATGACATTAATTCTACCAATCTATGAACATGGAAGATTTTTCCATTTTTTGTACCTTTTTCTATTTCTTTAAAGTTTTGTAATTCTAATTATAGATACCTCGGACATCCTTGGTTAAGTTTATTCCAAGGTATTTGATTTTGTAGCTGTGGTGATGTGATTGATCTTAGAAGTTCTTTCTCAGCTGTGGCATTGCCTGTGTGTACAAAGGCTCCTGATTTTTGTGTACTGATTTTATATCCTGGTGCTTTACCAAACTCTTCAGTGAGTTCCAATAGTCTCTTGGTGGAGTTCTTTGGATCCCTTAAATAAAGAATCATATCATCTGCAAAGAGGGATAGTTTGACTTCTTCCTTCCCAATTTATACCCCTTTGATTTTTTTTCTTGCCTAATGGCTCTGGCTAAAACTTCCAGTACTATATCAAATAGCAATGCTGAGAGTGGGCATCCCCATCTGGTACCAGATCTCAGTGGGAATGCTTCCAACATTTCCGCATTCAGTATGATGCTGGCTGTGGGTTTGTCATAAATTGCCATGATTTTGTTGAGGAATGTTCCTTCTATGTCCAGTTTGCTGAGGGTTTTAACTATCAAAGACTTGTATTTTATCAAATGCTTTCTCTGCATCTATTGAGATAACCATATGGTTTTTCTTCAGCAGTTTGTTAATGTAGTGCATCACATATAGATTTGCAAATGTTGAACCATCCCTGCATACCAGGGAAAAATCCCACTTGGTCTGGGTGGGTGATCTTTCTGGTGTGTTGTTGGATTCTATTGGCTAGAATTTTGTTGAGGCTTTTTGCGACTATGATCATCAGGAAAATTGGTCTGTATTCTCTTTCTCTATTAATCTTTTTCAGGTTTAGAAATTAAGGTGATGCTGGCTTCATAGAATTTGGGAGGATTCCCTCTCTTTCAATTGTTTTGAATAACTTGAGAAGAGTTTTAGTTAGTTCTTCTTTAAATGACTGGTAGAATTCAGCAGTGAATCCATCTAGTCCTGGGCTTTTCTTTGTTGGGAGGGCATTTATTACTGATTCAATTTCTGTCTTGGTTATGGGTCTGTTTAGGTTTTCTGTGTCTTCATGGCTCAATTTAGGGAGGTTGTATGTGTCCAGGAATCAATCCATTTCTGATAGATTTCCCTGTTTGCTGGTATACAACTCTTTGTGGTAATGTCTGATGATGTTTCAATTCTGTTTGTTTTTTCAAAAAACCAGTCTTCATTTTGCTGATCTTTTGTATTGTTTTTTGAATTCAATTTTGTTGATTTCTCTCTAATTTGAATTATTTCTTTTCTCCTACTAGCTTTGGGTTTGCTTTGCTGTCATTTTTCTAGATCCTTGAGTTGCAATGATAGGTCATTTATTTGGTGCCTTTCCAATTCCTTGATGTAGGCACCTATTGCTATAAACTTTGCTCTTAACACTGCTTTTGCTGTATCCCATAAGTTTTGCTAAGTGTTGTCATCTTCATTTCCAGAATAGTTTTGATTTCTCTTTTGATTTCTTCTATGAACCACTGTTCATTCAGGAACGTGTTATTCAAACTCCATGTGTTTGCATATGCTCTAGAGATTCTCAAGTTGCTGATTTCCAGCTTCATTCCATTGTGGTCTTAGAAGATGCATGGTATGATTTTGATTTTTTTTTAATTTGCTGAGAGTTGCTTTATGGCCTAGTATGTAGTTAATCCTGGAGAAAGTTCCATGCGCTGCTGAGAAGAATGTGTATTCTGCTACTTTAGGATGAAAACTTCTGTAGATATTGTTAGGTCCCATTTGGTCTATTGTGTTCACGTCAAGAGTAACTGTAGTCATTTGAGCTAAAATAATAAGATAAAACCTCGTGTGACTTCTGATTATATACCGTTATATTCCCTTAGGTCACACTCAGGAGAATCAACATCTAGTATATATGTGGAATCCATCAGTGACAAGTGAGTGAAATACAAACTCAGTGTGTATTTGTATACATGAATCCCCCAAAAGACACAGGTATGTTACTACCTGTCAACTGAATAATATTTAAATACATGTGTGCACATCATGGTAGGTATATTTGATTTAAAATGAGGATTAATGTTACAATAATAATTAGCTCAGGACTCTTAAAAACAGCAGTATATCCAGAGTGAAATAACTATTACTTTAAACACTAGTCTTTTAGGGTTGCATTTATGTCAGATTACATATATTTATTTGTGTGTGTATATGTGGTGTGTGTGTATATGAATGGGTGTGTGCATGAATCATCAAAAATTGCATGGAATATCTTTTTCTCTCCTTTCACTTTCAGTCTGCGTGCATCTTAGTTGGTGAGATATGTTTATGATAGGCAGCAAATAGATGGGTTTTGATTTTAATCCATTCAGCTAGTCTGTCTTTTAACAGGAGAGTTGAAGCCATTTACATTCAAGGGGACTATTGATAAGTAATGAAAATATGTACTCATGGTATGTTTGTGAACTTTAGAGACTAGAAACCAGAGCCTATCACCATTTAGAACCTAGGCAAATATCAAAATACCTGTGAGTGTGATGCACAGTGATCCTAGGGAGAAGAGAACCCATTTTGCAAGCAAAGACTTGGTAGTTGTAGGCAGGAAGCATGGCAAGAGACAGTCTTTTACACTCCTTTAATGTGTTCTCACAGTAGCATATGTAGCTACTTTTTCTAGGTTTTTGTATATATTTGGATTAAAGAGGAGTATGTCATAAGAGGAATATTTCTTCCTTCTGGTATTCACATTGAGTAACCCCTAGACAAAGCTCAAAGGAAATGTTCAGTATGCTAATGGATAGGAGTCTGTCTCTTTGTAGAAAAACTGAACATGAATTTTGAGTCATTTTTCCCATAGGCCAAAGATATTCATTACAAATACACAAAGTGCAATTTCCATGCAAAAGTATATTTCTCTTCTTTGTTTCTATCTATAGAACTCCTTTAAGCATTGTTTATAAAGCTGTTCAGATATAGACAGCTTTCTTCAATGTTTGTTTGTCTCAGAATATCTATCTCTTCATTCATGAAATATAGCTAAGCTGGTCAAAGTATTCTGATAGACTTTTTTTTTCAGAACTTGACTATATCTTTCTGTTTTCTCCTGGCCTGTATTGTTTCTGTTGAAACCACGGTTACTCTTCTAATGATGTTTCGAGTGAAGGTCACTTGATAATTTTCTCTGGCAGATTTTAATATTCTTTGTGTTGTACTTTAGAGAGTTTGACAGAATATGTCATGGTGAAGTTCTTTTCTAGTCATGTCTATTTGAGGTTCTGTGGGCCTTCTATCCTAGCATGTCCATATCTTTCTCTAGGTATGGAAGGAACCTGGGATGTTTTCAGCCATTATTTCAATGAGTAGGTTTTCTAGTCCATTAATCCTCTGTTCTCTCTCAGGGATTCCCATAACTTGGATATTTATTTGTTTGGTAGTTTCCCAACGGTCTCATAGACTGTCTTCATTCTGTCTTTTTACTTTTTTGTTTGTTTTGTTTGATGACTGAGATGATATTCCAAATGATCTGTATTCAAATTCAGATATTCTTTTTTCTGTTTGATCAAGTCTGTTGTTGAGGCTTTCAACTGTATTTTTTATTTGATCTGGTGAGTTCATCCCCAAGATTTGTTTGGTTCTTCTTCAGGATGTCTACGTCCTTCCTGACTATCTCATTGATTTTGTGCATTGTTTTCTAATTTTTTTTTAACTATTTGTCTGTGTTCAGTTGTATCTCTTTGACCATCCGTAATTCTTTTGAATTCTTTCTCAGGCACTTCAACAATCTCTTTTCTTTGGGATCTGATACAAGAATGGTATTTTGTTCCAGATATACATGTGTACACAGATATACATGTGTATACTAAAACTATGTTCAGAACATGGAAGCACACACACACAAACACACACACACACATTATATACACAGAAGCCGTGAAAAGAAACAAAAGTCAAGATATATAATACTTACCATGAGGAGTATCCTTAGCAACATAGACTATATTTGACATAATTTAAATCATTTCAGTATAGGATCTGTAAATAACTGAATTTATATATATATATATAACTTATATATAAAAATATAATTATGTTATTATATAATATAATTATATTATTATATATAATATATAATCTATTTTAATATATAAATATATATATTGGAGGGTGCCACAGGCTTAGGCCTGCATTACTTGACTGTATGTTTGGAGAAGAAAAGTGAATCCTGTATGAAAGTAGGAAGGCGATGGAGAGACTTGAGAATTGGGAACATAGGTGGTATGGAATGATGTATACCAAAAGTAAATTGAATTCAAAGTAAATGCTGAGAAACAAAAAGCTGTTGGGGCTGGTGCTGTGATGTTTTGGGTCAAGTCACCAGTTGCGACACTGGCATCCCATATCAGACTTATGGTTTGAGTCCTGGCTGTACCAGTTCTGATCCTGCTCCCTCTCAATGCTTCTGGCAAGTAATTCAGTCCCTGCCACCCACATAGGAGACCCAGATGAAGTTCCTGGCTTCAGGCTTTGTTCTAGCCTAAGGCCTGCCATTGCAAGCATCTGGTGAGTAATCGAGTAGCTGGAAGATGTCTCAATGTCTCCGTCTCTGGGATTCTGTCTTTCAAATAAAAAACTAATGCATAAGAAAAGTTTTAAGTTGGAGTCATTCCTTGGAATTTAGGTAATAATCAAGAGCTTCACATAATCCAGAAGCCTTGCGATTTTCACAGCATGTAGCTACCTCTTAGTGGAATTGATGTTTTATTTCTGTTTTTTTTTATTATCTTATTTCTATATTTGAGGCCAAATATAGAGATCTGTCTATATATATATATATATAGAGGGGGCCAAAACAGAGATCTGTCCTCTGCAGGTTCCCTCACTAGATGGCCCCAATAGCTGGTGTGAGACTGGGCAAAAACCAGGAAGCCAGAGACTCCTTCCAGGTCTCCGATGTGGGTGAATGGCTGCAAGAACTTGTGCCATCTTCTGCTGATTTCCCAGGCACATTGGCAGGGGGCTTGATCAGAAGTGTAGCAGCTAGGTGGAGATCAAGTGCTCAGATCGGATGGCAGCATCCTAGGTGGCAGTTTAACCTATAGCTCTACACTGACGCCCATAATTTTTCATTTCTAATAAAAATACACACCAAGTTCAAACAGTGATACAACATGACCCTCTGGAGATCAACCAGTTCATGTCCAGAATAACTGTAGTTATTTGAGCAAAAATGTTAAGATAAAATCTTGTGTGATTTCTGACTTTGTATCTTTATATTCCCTTAGCTCACAGCCAAAGGAATCAACATCCATTACTTTTGTGGAATCCATCAATGACAAGTGAGTGAAAAACAAATTCAATATGTGTATATGTATACATGAATCCCCCAAAATACACAGGTAAGTGTACACTATCCTTAAAATTAAGGTACTACCTGTGAACTGATTGATATACAAATACACATGTGCATATCACTGATTTGAATGTGGTAGGTACTATTGAAAATTAAAAATGAGGCTTCATGTGACAATAATGACTATATCAGGACTATTAAAAGAGTAGTATATCCAGAGAGAACTAAATATTACTTTAATCCTTTGTCTTTTAGGGTTGCATTTATATCAGATTACATACATCTGTGTGTATATATGTTGTGTGTGTATGTGTACAGGTTTATCCATGAGTAATCATCAAAAGGTGTATAGAGTGGCACACATGGAAGGTTGATACTACTTGCAGCTGTGGCATCACAGATTGCAGTGCTGGTCCCAGTCTTGGTTGTTGCCTGTCCAATCTAACTTCCTGTTAATGCATCTTGAAAGGATGTGGATGATGACTCAACATTAGACCCTGTCACCCACATGGGGAATTGAGATGGAGTTTCTGCCTCCTGACATTGCCCTGGTGCAGCCCTTGTTGAAGCCAGTAAAGGATAGCTATATTTCTCTCTGTCCTTCTCTTGCTCTTGCTCTTGCTCTCTCTCTCCCACTCTTTGTCCCTCTGTTTTTCAAGTAAATCTTTTCTTTTCAGTTTCATTAAATGAATTTATTTATTAAAATAGTTTAACTCCAAATACAACTGTTGAATTTGTATTGAGTTATAACTACAATTCATGTTTCAATTGAAATGTCAAGATTTAACAGCTGACACTGTTTAAAAAAATAAGCCATTGTTAAATTTTAAATGGTCAGTTGTATTAGAGTTCAACAATTAACTGTGAACTATATCTCTGGGAAACCCCAAATCAATAATGTTAAGTTTGTTTCCAAAACCCACTGCAGTCATTCTTGAAACCCTGATCAAGATTTAACAGATGCACAATGACATGTTAAAAAAAAAAAAAAGACTCCCCCCATAGTCTTTAACATTTCATTGGCTATGGAGACAATTAAGCTTAATCAGTGCTAACACAAAACTACTGAGAAAAAAAAAAAAAAACACTGGAAAAAAAAGACAAACAAAAACTCAACATCAGCACACAAAACAATTATCTTCATAGGAACACTGAGAACACTCAAACTGGAAAACCCTGAAAGAAAATGCCAGACATCCTTAGGTAACATTTCCTCATATAGGAAAGCAAATATCAGTAGTTTTAAATACAGAAAAGTGATGGCAACTATAGTGATCAGAGGTGAAACTTCAGTCCTAACTCTACAAACCAAAGGAGAAAAATGATCGAAGCACCCTCTGATAGTTTAAGAAAAGATTTTACATAATACTTTCGATCAGATGCCAGCTGGTTTTCTTGTAAGTTCAACAAAATGAAAGGCAGAGTTACCATTGGCATCACAGCTGAAAAAAACAAAAGTTGTAATATTAAAATAAAACAACTTAAAATAAATGCTGCTCTTGTATAAAAATAAAAACCAAAACAAAACCTTATCACGATAGTTAAAGAAAAAGAGGGTCTTTGGATCAAACCATAATATTTTTAGGCATGTTAGAAATTCAGGCCGGCGCTGCGACTCACTAGGCTAATCCTCTGCCTGCAGCGCCGGTACCCCGGGTTCTCGTCCCGGTTGGGGTGCCGGATTCTGTCCCGGTTGCTCCTCTTCCAGTCCAGCTTTCTGCTGTGACCCGGGAAGGCAGTGGAGGATGGCCCAAGTGCTTGGGCCCTGCACTCTCATGGGAGACCAGGAGGAAGCACCCAGCTCCTGCTTCAGATTGGTGCAGCACGCCTGCCGTAGTGGCCATTTGGGGGGTGAACCAATGGAAGGAAGACCTTTATCTCTCACTAACTCTGCCTGTCAAAAAAAAAAAAAAAAAAAAAAAAAAAAAAAAAAAAAGAAAGAAAGAAAGAAAAAAGAAAAGAAAAAGAAAGAAATTCAAACTCACCTATCTAGCTGCTAGTCTGATCAGGGCATAGAATAATGACCCAAGGTCACCAATTTTCCTCTGTTGACACCAGTATTTCTTATGCCAACAAATACAGTCTTCCCATTGTTAAGCTTTGTATTAACATCTCAACAGACAAATTCTCTCAAACTGAGTTTTGTTCATACCAAATGAATACCAATAATAAGAGCACAGGTGGACCCATCTCCAGGTTTTGGAAATTTTGTTATCTTGTCACAAAATGTGTAGGGCTATATGGGAACATTGATCAGGTAGCCAAATCAGTTATTATTAACATCTGTCCAGTAAAAGCCCACCTTAGTATCTGATAGAAACATTTTTAACTAAAACCATAAATGTAAGATAATCTTTTCCAGCTTACATTTTGCCAAGTCTTTCACATTTTTAACCTATTTATAACATCTGCATAGCAATCCAAAATTAAAACTGCAAAATTTTCATAGTTGCTTCCAAAATGCAATCTTAGTTGTCATAAATTTCTATTAATTATAGAATTCTCAGAAACCAGAACATTCTGGGAAGTTAGAAGCTTCAAAACCCCACCAATTCACTAATGAATGTTTCCTATTTCCGTAAACTATACTTCTTGAATCTGATTTCCCTGCATTTGAGTCAAATCAATTTTTATATAGTCAAATATATTTTCAATAAAGTTGGTCAAAACTTTCTGTCTTTTACACAAGGAGCTTCATAAATGAGGATTATAAAAATTATACCAAAGCTTGGAAATATTCACAATGGAAACATTCTTGATAGCCATGGCCTGGCTTTAATTTCTTCAGTTTCCTTATCTATGAAAATCCTACCCAGCTTTTTTCCCATCCTATAACCTTAATGCCAGTTATTAAGCACTTCAGGGGGTGGGCTACCAATAATTTCAATAATGTATAAAAGACACTCAACTAATTTAAAAGAAAAAGTCTTTGATACAGCATATTCTGCAGTATAGATTCTCAGTGTAGGCAATTATTTCCAACTTGTGCCAAATTCTTAGGAACCATAAATACATGGACACACAGCATACACTCTTCTCTCAGCTACACACATAAGACAAAAGGTTACTTGCACAAGACTGTGAAACTAAGCAAATTTGGGGTGGTACATAGATCTCAGGATCAGTGATATAGCAGTTCTGAAGGCTAAATTTATCTCCAGCGGCCCAGCTCAAGATAATCTTTTGTCAGCTTTAAAAACTCCAGTAAGGGCCAGTGCCATGGCTCAATAGGCTAATCCTCCACCTGCAGCACCAGCACACCGGGTTCTAGTCCCGGTTGGGGTGCTGGATTCTGTCCTGGTTGCCCCTCTTCCAGGCCAGCCCTCTGCTATGGCCTGGGAGGGCAGTGGAGGATGGCCCAAGTACTTGGGCTCTGCACCCACATGGGAGACCAGGAGAAGCACCTGCCTCCTGTGCCATTGAAGAGTAAACCAACGGCAAAAAAAGGAAGACCTTTCTCTCTGTCTCTCTCTCTCTCACTATCCACTCTGCCTGTTTAAAAAAAAAAAAAACACTCCAGTTAGTTGAAAGCTCTTCTACACTTGATTGTAAAGCTTATGAATAGGTTTTTCCTGTGCTATTAGTCATGCAAATGATAAATACTTCACAGCTATGAAAACCAAAAATATCAGAGCTTGAGCACCTTTTCAAAACAAAATATTCATTCTAGTTTTACGTGCCACTTCAGTAATCAGGGCAAAACTATTATACAAAAATCTTTATGCAATTCTCCAGGAAAATTAAAGGTAAAAGGCTTTTTTGTCCTTCACCTTCCACTCTGTAATTTATGTTCTATTTTTAAGCCAGAATTATTTCACATGGTTATTCGATTTTTTTAAAATGTCTGTTAGAAAGCTCTGCTACAGCAAACTGGATTTTCACAGCCTGTTAGCCAAGGGTCATGCCACAACCATAGCCCTTAAAGGCAAGGAGGAATTTGCTGCTTCAATGAGTGTAAAAGTGCCAGGAATTTGTACTGTCCTGTGAGGTTTCTGCAGATGGAAACACATGGATGCAACATGGCTTCATTTTCCTTAGATGATGGTACTAGCTAATTGTTAGTAAGGCGAGGCAATCTCTCCTCATTACAGTTGCTTCCTTCTTGTTGAGTAAAGTAATGCAGACCATCCCTGCTTGGTTAACAGAGGGTGGGTTTGGGGTTTTAATTCTGATCCAACCCTTGTAAGAGCCTCCATTTCCTGTGGCAAAGCACGTGATTTAACAAATTCAAAAGCCAGATTGTGTTTTTATAGAATCTGTACTTTTGTTTGATCAAAGACTGATGTGTGAGTTAGTTCCATGTCACAAATTAGGATAACATCTACAATTAAGCATCAGTTTTGGAAAACACAACCTTGTCAGCTGAGCAGACTCCCTCTCTGCAATGCTGCTGACAGGTCAGCTGTTGCTATCTTCCTTGATGGAATACATTGGTTGGAAGCTCTATACCAAGTACTAAAACTCAGTACTCTCTTAGCAAAATATTCCCCTTTACTTAACTTTTTTTTGACAGGCAGAGTTAGACAGTGAGAGAGTGAGAGAGAGAGAGAGACAGAGAGACAGAGAAAGGTCTTCCTTCCATTGGTTCACCCCACAAATGGCTGTTATGGCCAGCACGCTGCACCGATCCGAATCCAGGAGCCAGGTGCTTCCTCCAAATATTTTAATTATAAGCGGTCATGGGAATTCTTCTGGTTTCTCCTTCATGGTTATTTTTTTAAGTTATGTATTTGCTGCTTCTGTCAACTCAGCAACAATGTCATCATTGCTTTCAAGTGAAGTGTTTCATAGGCAAGGAAGACGACCATGAGAGGTGAAAATAAAGAGGGACATAAGAATGAGGACTCTGGACATAGTAAATGGTATGTGGATCTATAAAATGTAGTTTGAGTTTGTAATAAATGTCCTTTCCAAAGACTCTTACAAGCTGGTGTTAAGATAATAGGTACTTAAATCTGCATATATTACAACTTTCACAAGCCTAATATATTCATTTCCACCACAAAGAGCTTCATTTCTAATTTTTTAAAAAGCCAGATTGAAAAATAGTGATATCTATATCTATATATCACATCAGTTTTTAGAATGAATGTAATTAGTTGACACAAAAAGGTAAGATATCTTACCCCATGGTATCTCACTATTTACTTTTTAATTCTTTAGACCAAATACAGAAGAATTGACATATGAAAATTATGAGGAAGCACCCAGTACCATGTGAGTTATAAATTTTAAAAGTTATAGATGTATTTGTGTGTATACATATACACCAAACCCATATATATGCATAACTAAATATAGGGCAGAACTTCCAAGAACTCATGAAAATGGAATTCAAATAAAAGCTTATGTTGAAATTCATGCACAGAGATATCTTTAAAAAGTTTTTGGAATATGAATATTATTAACAAACTGTGAATGCATTCCCAAAATTTGCAGCTAATTTTAATTCCATTTTCTCAAAAACTATCACGAGTACCCTATGTATGTTCATACACAAAGGTATTTCTTTTAATACACACACACACACACACACACACAAGTAAGACTATGAAAAAGAAAACAAGGTTGAAATTTATAAGTCTACTCTTGGGAGTATCCTTGACAACTGATGAAACCTTTTGTATCATTTAAATGTTCTCATTTTCAAAAATGTAGTGAATTTTCTGTTTTCTTTTTAGTTTAAACTGGATGAGAGGAGAGTTGTGAGTGGGATGATTCTTCCAGTCTGTATATTTGTCATTCTTAGTAACAGCCAATCCTGTAGGAAAGTCTGCCACCATATGGGACTGATGCTCCAAACCCATTCTGAAACTCATTATGATTTTGACTCAGGCCCACAGCATGGATTCGTGGAGTACAATGTGATATTGCAATACATGTATTCCATATAATGAGCACATCAGAGTAAATAACATTCATTACCATAAGCATTATTTCTTTGTGTTGAAACATTTAAAGTTCTCTCTTCTAACTATCTTGAAATATATGGTATATTACCAATAACAGTAATAACCCTACTTGCAATAGAATATTAAAACTTATTCTTGATAATTGTAACTTTAAAAATGATTTATTCATTTTAAAGAGCTTGAGAGAGAAAGAAAATCTTCCATCCATGTTCACTCCCCAAATGTCCACAAAAGCCTGGTCTGGGCTAGGTTGAAGTGAAAAACCAGGAAACCCTTCTCTCCTACATAGGTGGCAGGAGCCCAAAATTTTGGCCATCTTCCATTGCTTTCCTAGGCATATTAGCAGGAAGCTGGATTAGAAGTCAAGCAGCTTGGACTCAACCGTGCTCCAATATGGCATGTGGGTGTCACAAGCAGCAGCTTAACTTCACTGTGCCATAATACCACACCCTCTGATTTTAACTTTATTTTTTAACTTTTATTTAATGAATATAAATTTCCAAAGTACAGCTTATGGATAACAATGGCTTCCCCCACATAACATCCCTCCCACCCACAACCCTCCCCTCTCCCACTCCCTCTCCCATTCCATTCACATCAAGATTCATTTTCGATTCTCTTTATCTACAGAAGATCAGTTTAGCATACATTAAGTAAAGATTTCAACAGTTTGCTCCCACACAGAAACATAAAGTGAAAAATAATAGATGATTTTTTAAATGATGATGAAATCAGATCAGACCTATTGTCATGTTTAATCCCAGTGAGAGTCAAGTTGGGAATTGATAATTTCTTCTTCTTCTTCTTCTTCTTTTTTTTTTTTTTTACAGAAGATCAGTTTAGCATACATTAAGTAAAGCTTTCAACAGTTTGCACCCCCATAGAAACACAAAGTGAAATATACTGTTTGAGTACTAGTTATAGCATTAAGTCTCAATGTACAGCACGCTAAGGACAGAGATCCTACATGAGGAGCGAGTGCACAGTGACTCCTGTTGTTGACTTTACAAATTGACACTCTTGTTTATGGCCTCAGTAATCTCCCCATGCTCCAGTCATGAGTTTCCAAGGCTATGGAAGCCCCTTGAGTTCTCCGACTCTTATCTTGTTTAGACAAGGTCATAGTCAAAGTAGAGGTTCTCTCCTCCCTTCAGAGAAAGATACCTCCTTCTTTGAAGACCTGTTCTTTCCACTGGGATCTCACTCACAGAGATCTTTTGTTTAGTATTTTTTTTTTTTGCCAGAGTGTCTTGGCTTTCCATGCCTGAAATACTCTCATGGGCTTTTCAGCCAGATCCGAATGCCTTTAGGGCTGATTCTGAGGCCAGAGTGCTGTTTAGGACATCTGCCATTCTATGAGTCTGCTGAGTATCTCACTTCCCACGTTGGATCACTCTCCCCTTTATTTATTCTATCGGTTAGTATTAGCAGGTACTAGACTTGTTTATGTGCTCCTTTTGACTCTTAGTCCTTTCATTATGATCAATTGTGAACTGAAAATTGATCACTTGGACTAGTGAGATGGCATTGGCACATGCCACCTTGATGGGATTGAATTGGAATCCCCTGGTATGCTTCTAACTCTACCATTTGGGGCAAGTCAGCCTGAGCATGTCCCAAATTGTACATCTCTTCCCTCTCTTATCCCCACTCTTATGTTTAACAGGGATCACATTTCAGTTAAATTTCAACACTTAAGAATAACTGTGTATTAATTACAGAATTAAACCAGTCATATTAAGTAGAGTAGACAAAAAAACTACTAAGAGGGATAATGTATTAAGTTGTTCATTAACAGTCAGGGCTATGCTGATCAAGTCACCATTTCTCATAGTGTCCATTTCACTTCAACAGGTTTCCTTTTTGGTGTCCAGTAAGTTGTCACCGATCAGGGAGAACATATGGTATTTGTCCCTTTGGGACTGGCTTATTTCACTCAGCATGATGTGTTCCAGATTCCTCCATTTTGTTGCAAATGACTGGATTTCGTTGTTTCTTACTGCGGTATAGTATTCTAAAGAGTACATATCCCATAATTTCTTTATCCAGTCTACCTTTGATGGGCATTTAGGTTGGTTCCAGGTCTTGGCTATTGTGAATTGTGCTGCTATAAACATTAGGGTGCAGACCGCTTTTTGTTTGCAAATTTAAATTGCTTTGGGTAAATTCCAAGGAGTGGGATGGCTGGGTCGAACGGTAGGGTTCTATTCAGGTTTCTGAGGAATCTCCAGACTGACTTCCATAGTGGCTTGACCAGTTTGCATTCCCACCAACAGTGGGTTAGTGTCCCTTTTTCCCCACATCCTCGCCAGCATCTGTTGTTGGTAGATTTCTATATGTGAGTCATTCTAACCGGGGTGAGGTGGAATCTCATTGTGGTTTTGATTTGCATTTCCCTGATTGCTAGTGACCTTGAACATTTTTTCATGTGCCTGTTGGCCATTTGGATTTCCTCTTTTGAAAAATGTCTATTGAGGTCTTTGGCCCATCTCTTAATTGGGTTGTTGGTTTTGTTTTTGTGGAGTTTCTTGATCTCTTTGTAGATTCTGGTTATTAACCCTTTATCTGTTGCATAGTTTGCAAATATTTTTTCCCATTCTGTCGGTTGTCTCTTCACTCTCCTGACTGTTTCTTTTGCAGTACAGAAACTTCTCAATTTGATGCAATCCCAATAGTTGATTTTGGCTTTGCCTGTGCCTCCCGGGTCTTTTCCAGAAATTCTTTGCCTGTGCCAATATCTTGAAGAGTTTCTCCAATGTTCTCTAATAACTTGATGGTGTCAGGTCGTAGATTTAGGTCTTTAATCCACATTGAGTGGATTTTTGTGTAAGGTGTAAGGTAGGGTTCTTGCTTCATGATTCTGCACGTGGAAATCCAGTTTTCCCAGCACCATTTATTGAATAGACTGTCCTTGCTCCAGGAATTAGTTTTAGGTCCTTGATTAAATATAAATTGGCTGTAGATGTTTGGGTTGATTTCTGGTGTTTCAATTCTGTTCCATTGGTCTATCCATCTGTTTCTGTACCAGTACCATGCTGTTTTGATTACAACTGCCCTGTAGTATGTCCTGAAATCTGGTATTGTGATGCCTCCAGCTTTGTTTTTGTTGTACAAGATTGCTTTAGCTATTCGAGGTCTATTGTGCCTCCATATGAATTTCAGCATCATTTTTTCTAGATCTGAGAAGAATGTCTTTGGTATCTTGATTGGGATTGCATTGAATCTATAAATTGCTTTTGGGAGAATGGACATTTTGATGATGTTGATTCTTCCAATCCATGAGCATGGAAGATTTTTCCATTTTTTGGTATCCTCTTCTATTTCTTTCTTTAAGATTTTGTAATTTTCATCGTAGAGATCTTTAACATCCTTGGTTAAGTTTATTCCAAGGTATTTGATTGTTTTTGTAGCTATTGTGAATGGGATTGATCTTAGCAGTTCTTTCTCAGCCATGGCATTGCTTGTGTATACAAAGGCTGTTGATTTTTGTGCATTGATTTTATATCCTGTCACTTTGCCAAACTCCTCTATGAGTTCCAATAGTCTCTTAGTAGAGTTCTTTGGATCCCCTAAGTAAAGAATCATATCGTCTGTAAAGAGGGATAGTTTGACTTCTTCCTTCTCAATTTGTATTCCTTTAATTTCTTTTTCTTGTCTGATGGCTCTGGCTAAAACTTCCAGAACTATGTTAAATAGAAGTGGTGAGAGTGGGCATCCCTGTCTGGTGCCAGATCTCAGTGGAAATGCTTCCAACTTTTCCCCATTCAATAGGATGCTGGCTGTGGGCTTTTCATAAATTGCTTTGATTATAGTGAGGAATGTGCCTTCTATACCCAATTTGCTTAGAGTTTTCATCATGAAAGGGTGTTGAATTTTATTGAATGCTTTCTCTGCATCTATTGAGATAATCATATGGTTTTTCTTCTGCAGTCTGTTAATGTGGTGAATCACATTGATTGATTTGCGAATGTTGAACCATCCCTGCATACCAGGAATAAATTCCACTTGGTCTGGGTGGATGAATTTCCTGATGTGTTGTTGTATTCTATTGGCGAGAATTTTATTGAGGATTTTTGCGTCTATGTTCATCAGGGATATTGGTCTATAATTTTCTTTCAGTGCTGCATCTTTCTCTGGCTTAGGGATTAAGGTGATGCTGGCTTCATAGAAAGAATTTGGGAGGATTCCCTCTTTTTCGATTGTTCTGAATAGTTTGAGAAGAAATGGAATCAGTTCTTCTTTAAATGTCTGGTAGAATTCCGCAGTGAATCCATCTGGTCCTGGGCTTTTCTTTGTTGGGAGGGC